CCCCCCCCCCCCCCCCCCATTATATCTCATTTTTTTCCCCCACAAATTCAACATTCATTGGGTCCATGTGTTCAAATGATTGATGTGCACTACTATTTAATTGTAAACTCTTTTGACTTGTACTATTGGAGCGACCTACCACGAATACATTTTTCCTCTTTTGCCCCTATATTGTGAAGTTTTGTATAATTTAATTTCACGTTTTCAAATTAGCCCTTGTTTGAGCCACATTAAAATTTTTATTTTTATTCTTCTACTCATTTTCAACCACACATTTTTCAATAAAATAATATTTTCCATCACATCAATAACTTTCCTTCTTTTTCAACCACATACTTTCTATCAATCTACTATTCCAAAATACATTCTTCCAAAATAACGTGGCTCAAACACGCAATGTATTATTTCACAATGTATTCAAACGACTTGCACTTAAGATTATTTTCCACTAAATTTTCCACTAAATTGTAACCATATTTTCATTACAAATTCATAATCGCATACGTTATATTGAAAAATATATGATAAGGAACGCCCTTGATACAATACATTTCACACATTAACGCAGCTTGTGCCATATAATCATGTAATTGTTGTCACGGTATGTCCTCATCCACCAGCGCATCCAATTCGACACAATTTCATCTTCTTTCTCAGGTAGGTCAACCTCAACTTCCCCCGCTCTATGAATCCTTCATCAAGTTGTCTGTTTCAAAGTAGAAAATTGTGAACTCTCATTGTTGCCATGACAATAATAGTTTGAGCTTTGAACAAGTAACTGGCATTCGATCGAGTATTTTTCATCTCTGCTTCCATACACCGAATGCCTTCTTAATAACGTTACGAAACGAGAAGTGGTGGAAGTTGAATCTATAATGTGCATTTATGAATCGCCGTCGCGTATGATTGTCATTCCGAAATTCCTGAAAATTATATTGCACATAAATCTCTTGTACGAAGCTATGTGGCCCGACCTACGTGCAAAATCCGAGTCGAATAAGTAGAATTTCTCGTTTGTTGGTTCCAAAAAATATATAATTGGACTATGTACAGCTCGAGCCAAAATGCAGCTATTGTGGCGTTCCCCGTTGTACCTGATAGTACAAATGTGAAACTCAAATTGAAATTGCACGTAGTCAACACGTCTCGAGTTAGAATTCCTTTTTTCCTATAAAGTTAATCCTTCGATTTGGGGCCAGCGTCGTCGGAACATGCGTTCTGTCCATTGCACTAATGCAATCTTGTTATAGTATAAATTTAGAATGCAGAGTTAGGTACTTTTACACGTACTGATCCGATAATTGAATATATTTGTTTGAATTACAAATACAAACCTGAAACAACATATACTGTTTGGGATTCGGGTGATGATGTGCTGAGCCATGGTTGTAGTTCATATTTGATCTAATTATCTCTGCCACGAATGCAACTACGCGAAGCATTTTCTTGAAGTAATATCCAATAGTCTGCAACGAATGCTCGAAGAGCGTTTGCACTCAATGATACCCTTTGTTGTGTGCTAGTATACATAATAACATACTAACTTGTTCATATGTATCAATGTTCACACTGCTTGAACATTGATAGATACATTCCGAACTTCTGAAAAGCAAGTTTGCGGGTACATTTGCATATTCTGTAATAAGAAAATATGGCTGCATCGTATTGTTGGGAATAAGTATCGATGCCTTCTGTTCGGTGCAAGGTACTCTCGCAGTATGTGTTCGCTGATATGACAGTATCATAGCCATTTATGTATGTCGTCATCCAATTGTTGCAACACGTCTTCATTGGAACCCTCTTTCGAACCAGACACGAATATAAGAAGGCTATAGTCAGTTTTTGACGATGAACTGTTACTAGATTCATCTGTCATATCTTCGAATTCACAACAACACAAATGCAAACGAGTTTTTTTGGAAATGGTAACTAACCAATGTATACACTACTATATATGAGATGCTTCAGAGGTTTTTTTCCTTCTAAATGAAAATAGTAGTGGAAAATGTTTTTATTGTTTCCCTTCTCTTACTAATTGCCAAACATCACTCCCCATTTTACAGAAAAACCAATGGAAACTCACATTTTAAATGAAAGTGACTCAATTGTCACTTGCATTTACCTATTTAATTTGTTGGGAAACCTTTTTTTTCCCAAATTTCAAAAGGGGAATATATTCTTCCAAAAGCAAATGATAGATTGTACTTGTGTACTCTATAAGCAAACATACAAAGCAAAATACACTACTGATTTGTTTGAAGCAAAGGAAAAAATTTGCGAATCTACTCAAACATTAGGAACAAGTTTTTAAATACTATATGCCATAGGAAAAAAATTACAACAGCAACTAAAAAAGAAACATACATACAAAAGTTGCTATAAATGCTCAACTGCTGTGCGAAAAACATATTTGGTTGCTTTTGAAGCAGTAGTCAATCCACTTTATCCTCAATTTCAATGTTTCGACGGCACTGTAAGCAACTTGATTGTCATTGTCCCGGAAGAACTGCAAAAGTAAACAAGTGTAGCTCATCACAAGATGCAACGAGCTCAATCAAAAGCAAATCTTTGATGCACTCGTGAAGGGTCATTCCTCCCTTGCTTGTGGACCAAATTATCGAGGCGAATTTGCTAGATGCAGTTGCCAGGTTATCTAAAGATTCTAACACCTCCCTTGTTTGCCTCTACATTTTTCGCCACATCAAGTTAGGGAAGTGTTCATTGACGAGTTTGTTCTTCCCTTCATAAGGCTATCGCTCGAGGCAGTTGTTTCTGCATTTATCAGCAACTTGTTACTCGGGTCCTCCATCTCACTGTCCGAGCCCAAATCGAACCCACGCTGAGACAACTTCGTTGACATCAATGCGTACTATGTTGAGTCACAGCTATCCCCAAACAATCGACTGAAAGTGTGGTAAATTTCACTATTGTCGTTGTCCTTGAACTTCACATACTTTGGATTCCTCTACAAACACGGATATAGACGTTGTCAAATGAACACATTCATCAATTCAGTCCTGTCGAAAAATCTGTACTTCTTAAGTACTCTATGACCAAAAAAATGCCAGATCAAACTTTATGCATGAAACCATTCAAAATCTGTAAAAGCACAAATAAGCCATAGAGAAAACCAATCCAATATACAAAATGACAACGAAACTCGTGTATATATGTTAAGCAAATCCTAAAACAAGAAAAAACATAAATAGAAATCATCAATTTCTCAGAATTGAAGAAAAGCAGCCAGAACGAAACAAATCTATAACATACACGAATCAAATCTACAACATACACGAATCAAACAACTTTCTTTAAGACAAAACCTAAGCATCTAATGGCGTTCTGGAAACTAAATGTCAACTCCCGCATAGTGCAAAATACAACCCAACAAAAAGTTTCTATCATTTACAGCATATGAATGTAATTCCTGTAGGTTTAATGGCAGTCTTAGACTCTACCTCAACTCCAAAAGGCACAATAGGTATACTGCTAGGCAAGCTGCATCCCTTCTAAAATTTACACATACAACTAATGTTCCGATCGGTAAAACGTAGAAGGTAATTGGAAACACAATTCTTTGTTCAATTTTTGTACCTTAATTTTCAAGTCCAACCTCCAGCTGGGGACGCCAATTCTGCCCTCCTTGCTCAGACCGTATTGAATTCCCGTACATCGGAGCAACTCGTAGAGAGCTTGTGGACCGTTCGCATAACGCTCCAATAGTCCTTCAGCTGGGATACGATCCAATTCTTCCCAACGTTTTTGTTGAGCAATTCCCATAGGCGATCGTAACCCATTGTCGAGAAGCAATTTCCCGGACGATGGCCCTCAGCGGAAAAATGGACGGCTAGACAACGAAGACCTTGTGCTCCCGAGGATACCACTTTGCAGATTTTGGAGCAACGGGTTGTGCATCGTGTGCATTTGAGGATGTACCCTACACCTCGTTCGGGTTTTAGGTCGAGTACGTCTGCAGTGTTGCCATAGGAAGGAAGATAATTTCTAGTTATGAACAGTTGAAATTAGTTGGTTCTCAACAAGTTTTGAGCTACCCATTACACAATTAAAAAAGGCAAGGTTGGGATAACCCGACATCTAAAGGAAGTAATTTATCGAAAGGTTCTTACCATTTTCTTTGTATAGTACCGCCAGTGCGAACCATCGTGGTCCATTGTACACTTCTGAATCATCGTTCGAGCAACAAACAGGTACGAAGTTCGAGCTTTCAAATCACAAACGGAAGCAGAACATAGGATCGGATTTGGGAATGGCCGAGGAAAGGGAGAACCATGGGTAGAAGACAATGCTGAATCTGGAACTCACGTTTTTAGGTCTGAGGGATTGATGTTCAACTTTCCAATATAGTCTCTAGCGGCCGGGTTCTAATGAAAGAAGAGATACAGAGCGTGAAGGAGGATGTGTTTTAGTTTTGTGTTTGAGTTTTGAATTCAATTTGGATTTTGTATTTTGAGTTTCTATTTTGAAATTGTTAAAAATGTATTTTTTTTTGACATTTTGAAAAATTGTTTTCAAAAATCAAAAATTGAAAAACCTGTTCTCTTTCTTCCCCTCTCTCTCTCTCTCTCTCTCGTCTCTCTCGCTCTCTTCTTCCACTCTTTTCTGTCGACGAGCAGCAACGGTGGCTGCGATCAGTGCATGGTGTACGACGGTGGTTGGTTGTGGTTGCGATCGTCGATGACTTCGTCTCTCTCTCTTTTTTTACTGTAGCGGTGGTTGGTTGTGGCTATGGGAGTGATATGTGGTTGTTTTGGGTGTGTGGTATGCGATGGTGGTGTAGTGTATGTGTAGGTTCAGGCTGTGGCGGTGGTGTTTGGGTGCGTGGCTGTGGTATGCGTGCTGTAGCAGTGGTTGGGTGCTGTGGTGTGGCGGTAGTGTGTATAGTGTGGCGGTGGTTGTAGCTGTGGTGTGGTGGTGGTTCTGCGACGATTTTGGTGATTTTTGTGGTGGTAGATGGCGGTTGTGTGGTAGCGATTTTTGTGGTGGTAGCTGTGCTGGTGGTTTTTGTGGTGGTGGCTATGGTGGCGAATCTGACGATTGTATGGTGGTGGTGTGGTGTAGGCGACGGTGGTGGTGGTTGGTGTGGTGTAGGCAGTGATGGTGGTGGTTGAGGCGACGGCGGTGGTGTGGCGCGACGACGTTTATGGTTGTTGGGGTGATGTTAAACTGAAAGCATCCAAAATGCATTTTGAAAATTTTGGCTTGATTATAATTGAAAACACCCAAAATGCGTTTTAAAAAATAGGAAAGAGAACGCGTTTTCACTGTTTCGAAAAATCGAAAATAGAAAACGACTTGAAAACGGTAAAGAGAATATGCCGGTTTTTTTAGTTATGGGGTAGTTGTGTAATTTCGCACTGAAAACCAAGTGCTTAATGGTCAATTCCTCCTCCAACTATTGGATGGACATTTAAAGGTTTCGACATGTGAAAGGACAATGCATTGTGTTGAATACTGTATCAAAACGGTAGTGGGTTGAAAAATGAGAATTAATTGCGGGGGTGTGGGGCAAACGGGAGCTTATATTATTCCTATTTTTCTGGAAAAATTAGTATATTTGATATTAACTAATTCACTTAACTCCTAATTCTATATCTAATTACTCCACGTGAATTAACTCTCAGATATGTTTCACAATTCCCTAAATTTGACGCATATTTACCCAATTCACATACATTAATTTCGCCTGAACTTCATCCGCTATTAATTTCGAATAATTTTCAAAAATTAAACTTCTTCAACATCTTTCAATCTTGATTCATTCTTATGATATCGAATTTCAGACCTACAACGAAGCTCGGATAATTAGTCACTCACATTTCGCCCCTTTTTCAAGTCCTTATAATCTTACTGAATCAATTTTCAAGAAATCTCATTCAATCCACTCTCCATCGTGAAATTCATTTTCATACCCAAAAGAAGCCTATAAATCATACGTTCCATTTGAAACAAGCAATGTTCGACAAGGATCGATCTTCAAAAAATGTTTTTCTTTTTACCAATACTTTCCTTATTTACCACACAGATTTGGTATCATCAATAAAGGAAGAAACAATAGATCTCTCGATATTATACCATTTTTAACACTGCAGATTTTGGAGTTGAACATAGGAAAGAAAAATTCTTCAAGTCGATAGAAAGAAGATCAAGGTTGTTTCCCAACAACAGAAATTTGTGGAACTTAGGCTCCTCCTTTTCATGTATGCCTTATTCTTTAAGCATGAATTGCCCTAAGTTTGTAGTTCAAATTGCTTTCACTACAAACATTACCTATTTTTCTGATCTTTATTTTTCACATCACTAACTCTATATGACAGTATAACTAACCTTATAAAAGTTTCTTTTAAAGTATGCACCCCGTAGCATATTTGGGTTGGCTTATAAGCAAATAATTTTTCTTAAGCATGAAATAAACCACCTCAAACATGCTCGTTCATCACTGTTGGGTTTTTTGATACCCAATAAATTCGAACAATGATGTTAAACCGGTTGTATAGTTTGGATTAGACTTCATAGGCCTCGGCTGATGATTGAAGTGAAATGTCGACACCACAATTAACGAACCATTCCGACAACCTAAGTGGGCCATTTGAAGTAACCTAATTACATTAGTGTTACTCATGGCCCGACTCATTACCTTGAAAGGCTTTTCGATGGTAGCCCTATTATTTCCTATTGGGCCTAACTATGTTCTAACCTAAAAGCCCAAACTTGGTAACTTTATATACCTCGCCCCATTACTGTTGAAGTTAGTGTGAAAGTTTGGGCAGCCATGTATTTAGAGAAAAAGACAGTCCCTTTTGCTTCGTGCCTTTTTCCTAGGCTTCGTGCCTGCGTGCTTTGTCCTCTCCTCCTTTCTTAGTCTTTGTGGCTTACTCGTGGGCTCCCATAACCTCTTCACACTGAGCCCTTTGTGGGCAAACCGTAGAGCAACCGGTATTGGTAGGTTTTATGGTTGGTTGGATTTTGGTTGTTTGTTGTGGTGTTGATTGGTGGTTTATCTGAGCTCGAGTTGGTGAAATTGAAGGCCCAAATTCTAACATATGGTATCAGAGCTTTGGTGTATGTTTGGGTGAAAAAATCTGATAAAAAAAACTAGAAAATCGAGCAGAAACTGAAGCATAAAAACTGTCCAGATTCTTGTGCGAAAATTGGACTTGCAAACTTGTTTTCTGGGCGAACCAGTGACCATCTGAAGAAACCAAGACCACCAGTAGACTCAGTAGGTGGACGACCAGCTCCCTGACCGACGTGTGAGCTTCCCTGGCGGCGCGTGTGGCGGTGCTGAAGCCCACGCGCAGAGAGGTGTCCGGTGCGTGGAGGCGTTTTTTGACCTCGACTTCTTCAGGCAGTTTGTTAATCTTGATTCCATGAACGTATTGATATTTTTGGTTTAGTGTTTCAGGTTACGCAGAAAAATTTGGACGATCTTGCCCTCGAAGGGTACGACGGTCGAACTGCAAAACATTTATTGAATTACTTTAGGCCACAAATTACGGCCCTAAAGCAGTAAATTCGCATGTCTCATAATTTACGGACTCAGATAGGTCCGCTCTGGTAAATTGGCTTATCCCGTTTAAATTCCAGCATTAGCGTGTCATCGTGTGTGGTGACATTAGGATTGACGTTACCGTGAAGGGGTAACCATTGCTTGTGCTAGAATTTTAGGAATTTGTTGCTCTATTTGAAGTGATGAATTTAACTGCAAGTTGGTAATTGCTTTTATGCTGTAACTATTGTTTTATCTCTGTGTGAGATTGTTNAATTCTAACATATGGTATCAGAGCTTTGGTGTATGTTTGGGTGAAAAAATCTGATAAAAAAAACTAGAAAATCGAGCAGAAACTGAAGCATAAAAACTGTCCAGATTCTTGTGCGAAAATTGGACTTGCAAACTTGTTTTCTGGGCGAACCAGTGACCATCTGAAGAAACCAAGACCACCAGTAGACTCAGTAGGTGGACGACCAGCTCCCTGACCGACGTGTGAGCTTCCCTGGCGGCGCGTGTGGCGGTGCTGAAGCCCACGCGCAGAGAGGTGTCCGGTGCGTGGAGGCGTTTTTTGACCTCGACTTCTTCAGGCAGTTTGTTAATCTTGATTCCATGAACGTATTGATATTTTTGGTTTAGTGTTTCAGGTTACGCAGAAAAATTTGGACGATCTTGCCCTCGAAGGGTACGACGGTCGAACTGCAAAACATTTATTGAATTACTTTAGGCCACAAATTACGGCCCTAAAGCAGTAAATTCGCATGTCTCATAATTTACGGACTCAGATAGGTCCGCTCTGGTAAATTGGCTTATCCCGTTTAAATTCCAGCATTAGCGTGTCATCGTGTGTGGTGACATTAGGATTGACGTTACCGTGAAGGGGTAACCATTGCTTGTGCTAGAATTTTAGGAATTTGTTGCTCTATTTGAAGTGTTGAATTTGATTGCAAGTTGGTAATTGTGTTTATGTTATAACTGTTATTCAGTCACTGTGTAAGACTGCATTGCGTGAAAATTTTGAATTTTTTGTTTATATATCTTCATATTGCATTGATTATCCTGTTAGAACACCTTGGACTTGACCCGTTCGAACGTTCCCTTGATCTGAGATTTTGAGCCTCGCGAAACCCTAGAAATTTAGAACGGTGTATATTGTTGCCTTATGATTACTCTGTGTGACTTACTTGTGCATTTTTGGTTGTTCTATTTTTCAAAATGTCTTCACATTTCGAAATTGGGATTTTCAACGAGAAAGGGGATTTTTCAATTTGGC